TCTTTATTTTAAAATAAATGTGTATCTTTGTATGATTTATGAGTGTAAATTTTTACCCACAGGTAAAAATACATGTGTTCCTAAAACTATTTTGTATATTTTCATTTCTGGGCTACACTGTAGCTAAATATTGTTATCAAATCTCAAGATTATTTAAACGTTTTAAATGAGTATTTCAGTTATGTTATCAATAAAAGAGGACTGCAAATATTTTTTTAAATAAAATTTTGCATTCTATGTCTGTTACCGAATGTATAGGATATTAAAAATAAATTTTATTCATATTTCAACAATTATTCCTCTCTTTCAACTATTTATATTATTGAAGCACAAATGTTAAACATAAGCAGTCAGAATGGAAGGATACTTAAAATAATGACAGTATTTATATCTGATTTATTTCAGATTGATAACCCAAAATCTTGACATTATTTTCCTTTTGAAGATTGAATATTTCTGATTCACTCTCCATTATTACTCTTTTCTTGCCTTTTGGTGGGTATATCCCTCTGATCTGTGGAATGGGACAGTGATTTTGTCTAGGGATTGATAAGTGAGGTGTACCATTTCTACCTCTTTTTAAAAATGTTTAAATTATTTTTTAAATTTTTTGGGGTGAAGTAATTAGGTTTACTTATTTGTTTTATTTTTAGAGGGGGTACTGGGAGTTGATCCCAAGACCTTGTGCATGCTAAGCATGCGCTCTACCACTTGAGCTATGCCCTTCCCCCAATTTCTACTTCTTAATGGTGGCCCATATGGAGCTGGAAAAGTTAGTGGATACATATGATGATATCTCACCCCTTTCTCCCCCAGAGTACTCAACATCCATTTATTCAGCACCCGTTGTGTGCCAGGGATTATATCAGCATTATGGGGGTATACCTCGGGAAGTCTGTTAGCTCTACTTAGTCTGATTTGGATTCCTAATAGCATCTATCACTGGTGTTTCTCTAATAGGGTATGTACCACAGTTTATGGTTACTGCCTGTTTACTTATGTCTTCCCAATTGGTTTTCTTAAAGGCAGAGCCATGCCTTCACCCTCTTTAAAGAGCACAGGTGCTCAGTGATGTTTACTGATGGGCAGAAGGAAGGTTTGGTCCCTGTTTTTGGAGACCTTATGTTCTAGTAAGGAAAAATGAGGCACAAATAGTGCAGCAGAAGAGCAATTTAGAAAGTCATTTTTTTTTTCCCCACAGAAATGTCTTGCTAATTTGAGTCAGGATGAATGGCAAAGAATAAAACAATTATATGAGTAATGTATTGCCTTGCAAAGTAGGGCCAGTGATATCTGACACACTTGTTTAGCAACTGTACTCTTAAACAGTTCCTCACATCCATTCTTTGAATATTGTACTGTTAGGTACAATAAATTAATGACAAATAATAAATCATATATATTTCCTGAGGATTTACTGTGCTCCATGGCTTATTTTAAGCTCTTTTGATGCCTTAACTCTGTCTCTACAATAATACTATAAGACAGGTACTGTTAAATATTCCTTTTTTTAAAACTTTTTTTATTGAGTTATAGTCATTTTACAATGTTGTGTCAAATTCCAGTGTAGAGCACAATTTCTCAGTTATACATGAACATACATATATTCATTGTCATATTTTTTTTTTACTGTGAGCTACCACAAGATCTTGTATATACTTCCCTGTGCTTTTCTTCAATACAGTAGTATCCTATTCAGAATAAACTCTAACATGTCAATTAACTTGAGTATGTTAATAAATGCAAACCAAGTAATAGAATGATTACAATTTTTAGAAAGTGCTTATTAAGGAAGTAAATAGATTACATGATAGAGAATAATTGTTGGGTGTAAGGATCAGAGAGCTACTTTAGAGTGGTCAAGAAAAAGTTTCTTTGATGTGCTAAACTTTAAGCTGACACATGGAGGATAAAAAGGAAACAGTTATGCATACAGTTATGGGGGAAGAATGGTCCATGTGAAGAGAACAGTACATACAAAAATCCTGAAACAGGAAAAAGTGTAGCTTGACATAGGAACCGTCAGAAGGTCAGTGTGAATGAAGCACTGTGAGTGAGGGAGTAGCAACAAATGGGGTTGGAGAAGTAGACACAGGGCAGATCATGTAGGGCTCTATAGGATATGGTAGTGACTTTGTCTTTTGTTCTAAATGTAATGGAAAGCCCTTGAAGGTTTTCATCTGGGGAATAAAATTGCCTGATTGTTTTTACAAAGATCACTCTGCTTTATCAACAATTACTTACACTTAAATCAACAAAATGAAAAACAGACAATAGAGAAAATAAACTCCAAAATTGGTTCTTTGAAAAGATCAACAAAATTGATAAGCCCCTAGCTAGACTGATAACTAAAAAGGAAAGAACATAAATTACCAATATCAAGAAAGAATATGATGACATCACTGTGGATCCTGTGGATATTAAAAAGATAAGGGATTTCTAAATCCTTGCTAAGGAATTTGACAGCTTTGATGAAATGGACAGATGCTTTGAAAATCACAACCAAAACTGATAGAGGTGAAACAGAAAGTTTCTACATAACCTACATAACCAGTTAAAGATACTGAATTTATCAAAAATCCTTCCACAAAGAAAGCTACAGGCTCAAATTGTGAATTCTATTGGACATCTAAGAAATAATCTTATACAAACTTTCAGAAATTAGAAGACAGAGAGCACTTCCCAACTCATTTTATGATGCCACTATAACCTTGATGCCCAAACCTGACAAAGTTGTGGGAAAAAAAAAAGAAAAGAAAAATTACAAACTTGTATCCTTCAAGAACAAAGATGGAAAAATCTTTAACAGCATATTAACAAATCAAATCAAGCAATACATAAAAAGTTCATTGTACTATGACTAAATTGGGTTTATCCTAGGAATGCTAAATTGTTTAACAATCTTAAGTCAATAGTGTAATTTCCTATAATCACAGATTAAAGGAGAAAAACACATGATTGAACATCCTTCAATAGATGAAGAAAAAGTGTGTGGCTAAATTCAAGATTGATTCATTTAAAAAACTAATCACATTGGAATAGACCTTTCTGAATCAGAGCATTTTGTCAGATTTTATTTCCTAACAATACATCTCATCTCACATGCTCTTCTCATGTATCACTGACAATCATCCTTCGAGAGGTAGAGACTGTTCCCTCCCCTTTTATCTGGCTGAGTGTGCCTATGTCTACAGTGGAACTGATGCTATGCGTCTTCTGAAGTTATGTCAGATAGAAATGGCTTCCATCTGGTCTTTTGGAATGCTTGCTCTTGGAATCCAGCCATCATGCTGTGAGAAGCCAGGCAGCTCCTGTAGAGGAATAGTCAGCCAGTCTCCACTTGCCAGCCATTGAGTGAGCCATCATTAAAGTGAATCCTCCAGCTTCCAGATGATGCTTCCAGGAACTGAGACAACATTTCCCCGTGGAGCCCTGCCCAAAATGAAAATTCATAAGCTAAAAAAATGATTGTTGTTTAAAGACACTAAGTTTTGGAGGTTTGTTTTTGTTTTTGTTTTTACATAGATTAGATAACTATAACAGGTGTTCATGAAAAACCTACCACTAGCATCATATTTAAATGTGAAACATTGAATGCTTTACCCCTTAAGATCAGTAGAAGGCAAGGATGGTCAGTATTACAGCTTCTGTTTAAGCAGTGAACTTAAGAAAAGCACCACGAACAAATATTGAACTCTAGCTAATGATACACATGCTAAAATGTTTAGGGGTGAAATGCATTGATGTCTGCTATTTTGAAATGCATTTTAAAAAACTTGAATTCATGGGTGGATAGAGGGATAGATAGATACACACATGATAGCAAAATTAATTGTAAAACCTAGGTAATAGGTATATGATATATAATTCTTTCAACTTTACATTTGAAAATTTTCACGATAAATTATTGAATTGCAGGGAGGCAAGAATGGAAGCACATGTGAGAAATAATGATCAGGTAGTGACAGTGGAGATGGAAAGGAATGAAGAGATTTAAGATAGTTTTAGAGAAAGAATCTATGGGTCTGCCTATGGATTGGATTGGGTAACAGAAAGAAATCAAGGAGGGTTTTTGGCCTTATCTTCTGGGTGTTAGTTCCATTACTGAGAAGAATAATAGGGCTGTTGGGGAAATAAAAAGTTCCATTTTGGCTGTTATAATTAAAAGTGAGTTCAGAGCTGAATTCTGAGGACTTTCAACATTTAGAGATTGGGCAGAAAATGATGACACAGCAAAGGCGATTGAGGAGGGCCTGCAAGGTTGTAGGAAAACCAGTTGAGTGTGGTGTCAGAGGTACCAAATCTGTATCTACTACAAGCAAGGCTTTCCCACTTTTTCCCCAAGAAGATTCTCATAATTTTTATATGAAAAAACATGAATGTGAAAGACAACTTTTGATAAAGATTATTTTTTTGATAAAGTTGGGCAATAGCCTTATGAAGTGATCATTATTTTTTACACATTTCTGCATATTTTAAATATTCTATAGAATATTACTTTAAGAGTGGTTTTTAATATTCCCTGTATGTAAAAGTGATTTTTGATTAAAAACTTAAAAATAAAAACAAAAGGAAAGTGCATAGAAGTTGAAATTGGGTACAGCCTTGAAGAAACTTCTTTTAAAAAGTTTTGCTCGTAGGGTGGGCGAAGGAGATGGAGTAAGTTCCATCAAAGTAACATCTTTTAAAGATGGGAGATCCTGGGGGCAAGGGTATAGCTCAAGTGGTATAGCACATGCTTAGCATGCATGAGGTCCTGGGTTCAATTCCCAGTACTTCCTCTAAAAATTAAATCTAATTACCTCCCAACCACTGCCAAAAAAAGGGAAATACTGGGCCACATTACAAGCTTGGGAGTGATCTAGTAGTGCGGGCCAGACTGATGACACAAGAGAACGAGGAGGGAATAACTGAAGATGCTCGTAAGAATGCAAGAGGCCTTGGGAGCCTGAGAACAAGGAGAGGGGCTGACTGCCCGTTGACAGGAGGAATGCTTTGTCCACTGCTGAAAAAAGTGGAAAGAGATTATAAAGCTAGTGGTTTTGTAGATTTAGTAGTGGCATGATGAGGAAGTTCCTACCTGACAGCTGCTAATTTCTCAATGAGTTTTCCAGAAAAAAAGGAGAGGTTGTTTCCCAGGGAATGAAAAAATTCCACAAGCTAACAAGGGACGCCTGGGTTTCAGCAACTGCAACTAGTTCTGTTCACAGAGAGAGGGCAGGAGAATTTGGTTTGAACCAGATTATGTAAACTCCTCACTGTCTTTCAAGCCCTGAAAAAGCCTTGGCTGGCCAGGTGTGGCTCTCCACGCGCTGCGCGCGGGGCTCGGGAGGAACGGCCTGCGCAGGTCCCTTGGGCCTCGGCTGGTTGGCGCATGCGCACCGCGCGTCGCAGAGCCGCGCTCCTTTTCTCTTGCAGTGTTGCCCCGTGTTGCTCTGACTTTACCTGGCGGCAGTTTGCGGTCTCTGCGCCCCGAATGGAGCAGGTGGACGAGCTGGAGCTGCTAATGGAGAGGAGTTTCGGGCAGAAGGCTGCGCCGGCCGCGGAGCTGTGAGCGGAGCAGGGGGAGGGTCTGGGAGCGAAGCGGGAGATTTGAAATGTAAGGAGCGGGAGAGGCCGCACCCACGCCTCCGCGGACCCGGGCTCGGGACAGACCCGGCTCAGGTCCCCGCGCGACCGACGAGCCTCCGGAGCCGGGGTCTGCTTCGCAGGGTTCTTTTTGGGGCCCCGCTTGTGCCGGAACCTGAAGACTCCTCCTCTCCCGGCAGTTCATTCTTTCCCTTGATACCACCTCTTTCCCGAATCTGGGGAGTCCCAGCCACCTTAAATGTCTTCGTGAAAGGAAATAGCAACAGCTCGATGCTTTTCTTGATGTTTAGTTGGAGAGAGTTATTCCAGGGAGGACTCTACCCTCGCTTTGGTTTAAATGGTCAGGGAAACTTGACCCACAACCATGGTGTAGAATTGTTTTAAGTAATTTTTAGGCTAATAGTTGAGTCCAATAATAACGAGGCAAGTAATTGTTGACTGATACTTGCGTTTTCGATTTTGATCAGCAGTACCTTTTGGGAGAGCCTTAAAACTTCCCACTTGACCTTGGGAAATTAATGGTCTGAGGCTATGTGGGATAGGTGAATGAGGCGGTTAAAACATGATAGAACCTAAGGTTGGGTGACAGAGATAATTTTAGGGTAATGTGAAAGGCATTTAGTATTATAATTGGAGAGATAATGACTTTGGACTCTGTTGGACTGTCACTGATAAAATACTGCACTCAAATTGGAAAGAAAAATTATTGTGAAATTGACTTGCCTACTATAAATAAGGAATTTCTGCGTTATTCTGTGAAGGAATGGTTAATATGACAGGATTAAGCTTGCTTTCTCTACAAAGCATGGGCTAGTGGATCCCCAAGAAGTTCCACAGAAGGATTTCCTGCGTTAAATAGTGCATTGTACTAGATGATTTCTAAGTACTCTCTTAATTTAAAAATGAGTATAATCATGAGGCTCACAGTAGGACTTTCAGCAAACTAGCCACAGTATGTTTTTCCATAACAAAAGGATAATGTCCTAGACATTTCCTTTTACTTGCACTTTGGAAAGTTTTGCACTAGTGGTAGGCATTTGTTGTTTCATATTTTTCAATTTATCGTTAATCTTCACAATCATGGATGTCCCACAGAGCTCCTCATAGAGCTTATGTTTGGAAAAGTCCATATCATAAGCATGTTTTAAATGGCATTGCTTCTGGGAAGTTTTTTTTTTTTTAATGTATAATTTATTTATTTTTTAATGGGGGTACTGGGGATTGAACCTAGGACCTCGTGCATGCTAAGCAGGTACTCTGTCTACCACTGAACCACAACCACCCCCTTGGGAAGTTTTTATAATAGGCATTCTGCTAGGCCCTTGCTCTTAATTTTTACTTCTTTTAGCTAGTGGTCATTGTGATAAACTTTCCAGAAGAAAAAACCTAAGAAACCAGAAAGTTGGTTTGTAGATAAAGAAGATTAGCTAGCTTCTTACTTCATGCTTGTGCTACAGTAGTTTTGTATGTGTACGCTTTAGATTTCAGAAGAAGAAGGTGGAAGCTTCCTTTCCTAAAACAGTTCTGAGCCGAGGAATGGATAACCGGTACCTGGTATTAGCAGTCAATATTGTACAGAATGAAGAAGGAAACCATGAAAAGCACCTAATCATCACTGCTTCCCAGTCACTAGAATATGAAGAATTGTGTGTCCTTAGGAATGACTGGTAATTTTGTGTGACTTAGAGCATTGATCTGGCAGTCTTCTCTAGTAATGCACTATAGAAGTGATCCTTGAAATTAGAGTCTTTTGGTAGGGTCTTAAGGGTACCCTCTTACAAACCATCACATGGGCTTGTGTGGATGTTGCTGTAATTTAATTGTTAGTAAAGAGAGTAGATAAGAACCTGAATTAATTCCACATAAAAATTGTGCTTATTACCCCAGCATCTCAAGTCCCTTATTCGAAAACTTGATTTTTATTGTCATTTGAAAATTAAGTACAAGGGGACTTATTAAATAACTGCTTCCTATTCCCCAGTGTTTTCTGGGATTGCAGCTTAAAACTTATTTGTTCCCACTAACAGCAAAATTAATTACAGCATAAGAACATCCTTAGACCTTAGATTTCTCTCTTCAAAGCAAATTAGTATGTGATGGGTGAAGGGGAGATGTGGGTGAAAGGGAAATGCAGAGAAGGTGGAGGTCTAATGTCTGGGTTCTGTCTAGGCTTCAAGTTGGATGGTTTGAATTAAAGTATGATTTTATTCTTGCTGCATTGGGCTTGGCTTCATGCCTCAAGACTTATAGAAGCTATAGGTATGTTATAAGTCAAGAATGAGAGATTATTAAAACAACCTCATCCATAATTGGAGCTATATACTACACTATTAATGAATTGAAAGCTCTTACTGTAGACGAGGTAAAACCCAGAAATTTAGAAATACTTATTTCTCTAGATAAAATATTCCTTTATTTTTGAAGCCTTCTTAATATGTTTAAATGTAGGAATCTAAACTATGTACACTTTAACTTTGCTTTGTTTTCAGGTGCTCTGTACCAGTGGAACCAGGGGACATCATTCATTTGGAGGGAGACTGCATATCCGATACTTGGATAATAGACGAAGATTTTGGATATTTGATTCTATATCCAGATATGCTGATTTCTGGCACAAGCATAGCCAGTAGTATTCGATGTATGAGAAGAGCCGTCCTGAGTGAAATATTTAGGGTGAATAATATTAACAGCTAGTATTTGTATAAGGTCTTGGAGTTTACAGAGCTCTTTTACACTCTTATGTAATCCTTCCAACAGTCCTGTGAAGTAGATAGTATTAGTCAGCTGCATTTTATAGAGGAGAAAAATCAGGCTCAGAGAGGTTAAGTGACTTGCCCAAAGTTACTGTACCTAGTAAGTGGCAGTGCTGAAATTCAAGGCCAGGTGCCTGAATCCTTTAAATCTTGTTACTTAGTAAAACAATTAATTCAAATAATAAAATTAAGTAATTTAAATGTTTTATTTAATACATCTGGGCATTTCTAAACTTGGCTTCTGTGATTCCCAGTAAACTAAAAATAAGTGACAGTCTTTTTTTGTAAGAAATTATTATGAAAGGTTTCAAACATACACAAAGAGATGAGTATAATAAACTCCCATGTACACATTTTGCTGTTCCCAAATATTGTATTATTTTGCAACTAATTGAAAGCTGGGGATAAATGTCATATCTTTATCATACACAGTAAAATCAACAGTAATTCCTTAAATTAATCTAATACCCAGTTTATCTCTAATGTCTTTTATCACAAATACATTTTATTTTTGTATTCTGCCTTGTACCCACCCTCTTTGTTTCAGTGCCATTTATTTTTGAAGAACCTGAGTTTTTATTAAGTTTCCTCTTCCTTCCAGGGTATTTTAAAAATTATGCCATTAGTCTATATTTATGTAGAAAACTAAAAATACAGCTAAGCAAGAAGAGAAAAAGAAGGAAAAATACCTAAGTAGATTTTCTAATTGTCTTAATTATCATTTACTTGTAGTTTTTTTTTTAATCAGCTTTTTTTCTTCAATTGTGGGGGACTATTAACTTCTCTTTTAACCATATATTATAAAGCAGACCTGAATATTAATATTTTAAAAACTTCTTAGTTTGAAGTAATTTTAGACTCACAAAGAACTTACAAAAAAAGTAGAGGGTTCCTCTGTAAATTAACTTTTAAAATTCCTGATGGATATTTTGATAGACTTTATCTTATCTTTTGATAGTTTCAAGGAGAAGGTCCAGGCTAATAAAAGAGTTAATTTGAAAAATACTATTTCTTTTTGAGTGGTATGAGTTTGTTAGAATCTCTGCTATAAGTTTATATTTTATGTTTGAGTTACACCTTTTACTTACATAAGTTATGCCTTTATTGACTTTTAGATAAGAATATGTTGAATATTTGAGAATACATTGAACATTTTCATACAGATAACTTTTTTCAAAATGGAAATACACTGATTTGAAAAAAAAAAGCTCATACTTGTGAAATAATTCAGATAATTCAAAGTTGAAGAAAGTGAAAGCTGGAATTTCACTCACCAAAAAAACAATTGTTTAATATTTTGGCATTTGTCTCACCAGTGCACTTTGGCTATGGGGGTTCAATAGATTAGGTAATACAGACATCAAAAACAAACTATAGTCACCAAAGGAGAAAGGGATGGGGAGGGATAAATTAGGAGTTTGGGATTAACAGATACACACTACTATATATAAAATAAACAACAGGGGCCTACTGTATAGCACAGGGAACTAGATTCCATATCTTGTAATAGCCTATAGTGGAAAAGAATCTGGAAAATAATATACATATGTTATACACATACACACACACACACCCCCGAATCACTGCTGTATACCTGAAACTAACACAACATTGTAAATCAAAGTTTACTGAATATACACTCATGTCCATTGATAAGTTGTGAAATAAAATGTTCATATGATTATTTTTTATTTTTATTTTTTTGTAGAGCTCTGATCCAGCCACACGCCAGATGCTGATTGGTACAGTTCTCCACGAAGTATTTCAAAAAGCAATAAGTGATAGTTTTGACCCAGAAAAGCTGCAAGAACTTGCTTTTAAAACTGTTCAAGAAATAAGGCATCTAAAGGAAATGTAAGTAGTTATGAGAGTAACTATAGGTACAATTTTGAATATAAGGATGAAAGAAAAATAAGACTTGAGCAGCCTTGCTCAGAATTTGTGTCCTTGTTTTAAACCTTGGCATGTTACATAATGGAGTGTCTCATCCCCTCAGCATCTGTTATTTTTTCACTAATATCTAACAGTTGTATTTATCTGGTTTCCAAGATGCTGGAGTATGAGAGCTAATAGCTTCATTACAGTGTAGGAAAGAAGAAACTTTTTAAAAAATACTAGAACTATGAAGATCAGAATTTTGGAGGAATATATTCTAGTAGACCCTTGGGTGTCACTGAATTATTGTTTTTTATCATGATAATCTTAAGTTATTAAGGAAAAACGTTAATTGATTTTGAAAATATTATGAAAATATTAATTCTCTTGAATCTTGCCCATTCCTGCTTAAAAGAATACTTTTTAAACTCCAAAAGCCTAAAATAACAGGTCCAGAGTTCTTTTCTACCCTCTCTTACAGACCCTTGTACTTTATTACAGATTTTAGAACAGATTTTTACCTGTTGATGCTCTGTCTTCTCATTATATCTATAGAAGTCTAGGCTTAGGATTCTGAACCTTAAGTCTCTGAATAATCTGAGGGAAGAGCAGGCGGTTATGTGTCATTTTGCTGTGACTTGGCTCAAATTAAAAAGGGAGAATTTAAATGCAGAACACATTGAATAACCAGTGTGGACTGGTTTGGAAACTCCAAGAGTCCTGGTCTGTAAAAAGTAAAACACTGAGAAGAATCTACCTAAGAAGAGATCATGACAATGAAGCATGGTTACAGGATGGTTGGAGAAAGTTATTTAGGAAAAAGATTACCCAATTGTTTAGGTTTTTAAAAAATTTTTTAATTTTTTTAAACTTTTTTTTTAATTGAAGTGTAGTCGGTTTACAATGTGTTAATTTCTGGTGTACAGCATAGTGGTTTGGTTATACATAAGTATTCCTTTTTTTTTCTTTTTTTTTTTAATGTTTGTTTATTTTTGAGGGGAGGAAGGTAATTAGGTTTATTTATTTACTTTTGGAGGAGATACTGTGGATTGAACCCAGAACCTTGTGCATGCTAAGCATGTGCTCTACCACTTGAGCTATACCCTCCCCCATATATTCCTTTTCATGTTCTTTTTTAATAATAAATGATTATTTCTAAATAGATTATAAATTCATATACACCATATGTTATTATAATAGTACAAGAAGGTGTACAGTGATAATAAGTCCTTTCTACCTCTATCTCCCTGGTCACACATTTCTTCTTCCCAGAGGCAGCCACTATTACCAGTTTCTTGTATGTCCTTCCCTAGAGATTTCAAACATTTACGTATGATTATATGTGTGTATATTTACTTATCTTTATATATTATGTGTTATATAAGTGGTAGCCTACTATACACATTACTGTATATAAAATGAAATCTTGGTCATTATTCCATATCAGTACTTAATGAGCTATCTCATTTTTAACTAATAGGGGCATAATGTTTCATTGTATGGATGCACCATGCTTTATTTAAGTAGCTCCTGGCATTTCAGTCTTTGCTTTTATTAGCAATGCTATAATAAATACATTTGTACACTCGTTATTTCATAGCTGTGCAGGTATATATCTGGGCTCAATAGAATTGTTGGGTCAGAGGATATTCAAATATTTAAAAAAACTTTTTATTTGAAAATAATTTTAAATTTAGAGAAAAGTTGCAAGAGTAGTACAAAGAACATCCACGTACTCCTTTTTTCTTTTTTCCCTTAGCGGAGGTACTAGGGATTGAACCCAGGACCTTGTGCAAGCCAAGCAGGTGCTCTACCACTGAGTTATACCCCTCATGCCTCCATATCTCTTTTCTCAGATTTACCTGTTGTGTGTGTGTTTTTCTAAAACTTGAGATTAAGTTGTATACATTGTGGGTTTTTTACCTTTAAATACTTAATTGTATACTTCCTAACAATAAGGATTTTCTCTTATGTAACCACAGTGCAGTTATCAACTTCAGGAAATTTAACATTGTTGTACTGATTTTCTGTCCACATTTCAATTTTGTCTGATCTACTGTCCACATTTTAGTTTTGTCCAGTAATGTTCTTTATAGCATTTTTTTCCCCTCAGGGACAGGGTCCATCCAGTCTGGATATATTTAAAGTTTTGATACATATTGTGAAATTGCTCTTTGTAGACAGTATCCTCTTTCTTTCATTCACTTATTCATTTTTTTCCAGTTTTTTGAGGTATCATTGATATATAACATTGTATTAGTGTAAGGTATACAACATAATGATTTAATATATGTATATATTGCAAAATTTACTTTACATTTCTGCAGGCAATATATGAGTCCCTGTCTCCCCACATCCTCATGTACCTCATCTTTTATTCACTGGAATTTGCTACATTTCAAACAGCCTTTTTCAAGGATAACCTTTGCCTTATCTAGGCTGATTGTGTTTCTGTAGGTCATTTGGGGCACTTTGGCGTCTGCAGTTGCTCCCTGGTTTGAGATATTTTAGCTTCGCCTTCAACCTGAGTTTGCTTTTGTGCTCAAGACAAGCTATCTTGGCAGAGCTAGGGTTGCTAATTTTGTATTCGTTGTTGAACCGTCTCTCCTGGAGGACTGATAGGGCTCTGCTATCTTAGTCCTGGTGAGCCAGAGGTAGCAGAAACCTAGAAGAGTAGGAGCTTATTAAATTTGGTATTAGAAATGTTGCAGAGTTATTACACGGTAAATGTATAGTGTCCTGGAGTCTCAGTGTCTGGTGAGTGTGTTATTATGGTGCTATCTTTAGAATGAGAAAAATGGTAAGTTGTGTCTTTTAAAAGGAGTTTGCAGATCGTTGGAGTCTGTGCCAATACTCAAGAGAACTCAGGCGTGCAGGGAGAAAATAATGGCAGTGAGCTTTTATAACACAGTGTAGAAGGGAGCACAGGGCTTAAAAACTTAGGTTCCTGAGCTAGATCTGTGTGTCCTTTGGAAGTAACTTCTGAGCTTCAGTTTCCTCAGCTGTAAAGTAGGGGTGACAGTAGTATCTCACAGAGATATAACGAGGGTTGAAGGTGTTCATGTGAAGCACCTAGAATCGTGCCTAGCTTATAGTCAGCATTATGTGAATATTCACTGTTACCATCCTCCTCTTCATACCTTTTTGACTTCTTATCCTAAGCCAAGTACTTTACATAGGCTGTTTTCCTTAATCCTCAGACTAAGTGTGAGGTAGTTACCATCTCACCTTACTGATGAGGAAACTGAAGCTTAATGAATAGTGAATTGCCCAGAGTTACACATCTAGTAAATACAGAGTTAAGATTCAGACCTGTGGCTGATCTGACACAGAAACACATGTGCTCCCAACACCCCAGAGCAGTGGTTAAGATTGGGATTTTTAACATAAAGAGGGAGCTGGGAGAACCATCCTGGGAGGGTAAATCTAACAGGAGCTCTCAGAATTTTTTGTCTCAGGACTCCATTAGGCTAAAAAACTTATTGAGGACCCTGAAGAGCTTTTGTTTATGTGGGTTCTATCTATAGATAATTACTGTACTAGAAATCAAAACTGAGACAATTTAAGTTTATTGATTTTGACAATAACAATCCATTCCATATTAATATAAATACCAGTTTAATGAAAAATAACTGTTTTTGAAAAGAATGTAATGAGACAAGTGGCGTTGTTTTACATTTTTGCAACTGTTTTAATTTTAATTTATGACTTAATGCAAGAGCCTTGTTTCTTATACCTGCTTCTGCATTTGAGGTATTGCTGTATTGTATGTGTGTATGTGGGCTCAGGAATCTCCACTGTGTACTCATAAGAGAACAACAGCAAGATGGCAAATGTCATAGCATTATTATGTCACAGTTTTGACCTTGTGGTCACCTTGAAAAACTGAGACTAGATTCTGTTAGTCTTTGCTGACTTCTGACCTAAGAAGTTAATATTCCTATAGATTGTCCTTTGACCTGGTAAGGCTGATGTTACCATTCTGTCCATATGGCCTTTTCCCCTCTTTTATATCTCTGCTTTCCACTGCTGGGTTTCAGGAGCAACATTTCCTACAGTTTCTTTTTTATCCCCAAAGTGTAACTGGGACCAATTAAACCCAAGATGTTAAGAGTTGGAGCAAATCTGAAAATTGATGTCCTGCTACTGTAACTTGAATTTTGTATGTGTGTGTGTGTGTTTGTGTGTGTTAAAATACACATAGCATTAAAAATCACAGTCTTAACCACATTTAAGGGTACAGTTCAGTGGCATTAAGTACATTGACATAGTTGTGCAGACATCACCACCATCCACCTCCAGACCTTTTTTTATCTTCCCAAATGGAAACTTTATACCCATTAAACAACTCCTCCTCCCCCTAGTCCCTGGCAATCACCATTCTTTCTGTGTCTATGAATTTGACTACTCTAGGTACCTCATGTAAGTGGTCATGCAGTATTTGTCCTTTTATTGCTGGCTTATTTATAATGTCCTCAAGTTTCCTCTGTATGATAGCTTGTATCAGAATTTCCTTCCTTGCCAAGGCTGAATAATGTTCCATTGTATTTACCACATTTTATTTATCCATTCATTAGTTGATGGACATTTGGGTTCATAGTTGAATGTTTTTGTCCTCATTTACTTTTTTCATATTTAAGCTTTCATATTTAATATTTCTTATGTTGGTAGGTACCGCTTAAATCTGAATCAAGATGAAATAAAACAAGAAGTAGAGGAGTATCTTCCTTCATTTTCTAAATGGGCTGGAGATTTCATGCATAAACAGACTTCAACTGACTTCCCTCAGATGCAGCTCTCTCTGTAAGAAGTCCATTTTGTCTATATGCTATTCATATGTTTATACCAGGATTTTATTCTAGATGTTGACTTAAAGCTTTTTAAATGTTGAGTTATTACACCTAGCCTTTTTGTTTGCTTACTTTGTAAATTACAGTTCTGAGTCAAAAAAAAAATCCAATTAATAGAAAATTCTGTTTTTATTATAATAAAATTTCTAAGTTTTGAATGTAGGTATAGTTTTTAAATAAAATTTTCAGTTTGTAAATATTTGGGGAAGGTCCCAATTTCATATGTATTTTTCTGTTTTACTATCATGTATAGACTGTCTCATGTGTTAATTGCCATGAATTTGTGCTATGTTTAAATACTGTGTTTAACCATTTAGTGCTGTTTGGCATTTGTTCCCCCCACCAAACAGCATTGATATAAATTTATAGGTAATTCTTTTTTCCCCCATTATTTGCCTATTCAGAAAATATTTATTGAGTGCCTATGCCTAATATGTGCCAAGTAATGTTCTAGGTGCTGAGATAACAGTCAAAAAAAAAAAAAAGCCATTGACTTCATGGTGCTTCTAGACTACTGGACAAGTAAACAGCCAGTGCCAGATGGTGATAAATGCAGCGTAGACCAGTGGGGAGGGTGAGAAGGAAGAAGTTGGGGGGGACATATTATTTCTGTAGAACGGTCATCTAATAAGGTGATATTGAACAGAAGCCCGAAGGAAATGCAGGAGGGAGCTAAGCTGCTGTCTCCAGGAGCATTCCAGGCAACAGCCCTGTGGCTAATGCACTCCTGCCAGTGTGGCGGCAGCAGAGTGAGGTGGGAGGGAGAACAGGAGAAGCAGCTGACCTGGGGCCTCAGAAGTCTTGCAGGACATTGGTGGCCATTCTGATCCCATGTCAGTGATCTGGCTATCATGGAAAGCCACTGCCGGGTGTGCACAGAGGGTTTTGATCTGATTTCTTTTTTTTTTTTTAAGGCAACATTTTATTTTTCTTTCAATAGGCACAACTTCCCTTTATATCAATAATCTTAATTTTTTCTCAATATTCTCAATATTTTATCTCATGATATTTTGCGATCTGAACTTGTTTTAAGATTTGTGAATGAGAAATCTTGGCAACAGTCAGTTCTTTGGATCAGTTTGTTTTCTGAAGTTTTCTGTGATTCAGAGAACACACTGAGAGCCTGGATGTGAATCCCAGTTTTGCCGTAATTTAGCTATGTAACTTTAGGCTAGTTTCCTAACCTCTCTATGCTAGTTTCTACATTGATCAGGTTTACTTTTGAAAGGATCAGTCTAGCTGCTCTTTTAAGACTATGTTGTAGGAAAAGGGCAGAGATGGAGAGACCAATTTGGAGGTTCTTGCAAGAATCCAAGCAGGAGAAGGTGGTAGCTTATACCAGAATGAGAGTTGTGGAAGTGATGAGAGTCAGTTAGATTTTGGTTATATTGTAAAGGTAGAGATGATATGTTTTGATTTGGGTATGGAGTGTGAGGGGAAGAAAAGTCAATGGTGATTCTAGAGGAGAAAATGTGAACAGAATGGAGTCAAGCGAGAATGGTAGGGGGAGAGTATAGCTCAGTTGTAGAGTGTGTGCTTAGCATGCACAAGGTCCTGGGTTCAATCCCCAGTACCTCCATTTAAAAAAGAAATTAATTACCTCCCTCCAAAATAAAAAAAAAATTTAAAAAAGAGGATGGTAGAAGAGGATTTGGAGTCACGGAGAGTGGACAGCTTTATTGAGAGGTTGTTCTATGCAAGGCTATTTAGAAATGGAATGGTAGCCAGAGGCTTATGTGGGGTTAACAGAGCTTTGTTGTTGTTTTGAAGGTGGGAGATATAACATGTTTATATGCTGGTGGGAAGAATTCCATAGAGAGGGCAACATTAATACTTAGAAGACATGGGAGAATTCTTAGAGCTATGTCCTTGAATAGAGGAGAGGGAATGACAGTACACAAGTGGAAGAGTGGATCTTATAGGGACCGATATTTTCTGGTATTTAAACCTCAGAACTGGATCACTTTACCCAAGATACTTGGAAATTTTATAGCCTTTTACATATTGCTAGAATTCTTTGAGAATTTTTTAATCATTTTAGAAGGTTGCTAGCAATATTTAAGTGTCCTGTATCTGCTGGCAGGATTTTATTTATTTGTTTTTACTTTATTATTATAGTTATTTACAATGGGGTGTCTTTCAGTGTATGCATAGAGTTATACAACCATCCCCACAATCAATTTGCCAATAGGACTTTGATGTGTATTTGAAAAATATTTACTAGTTAAAAAAATAAGGCTTATCTTGCTATTGGAATTGAGTTTATTTCTCATTCTTTACTTCTGTTGTTGTCATAAATTTACCACTGGGTCCCTACCCTGAAAAAAAAAAAAGCTGGAGTAAATAGGTTTATTATTCTTGTAGGTTTTTTTGTGGGGTTTTTTTTTAATAAATTTATAAATGCTTCGTTCTTTGCTATTTCTTTGGAGCAGCTTGCTGTGTCTGGTATAGGGGGTGGATCTTGGTACATTAGTCTTCACTGTGATAATTTGATACGTGTTTAGTAAGTTGTCATTCTTTTTCTGGTTCCTTGCTTTGTTTTGAAGTATTTCTGTCACTCTGGTCTCTTTTTAATATCTTGTGATAAGTACAAACATAATTTTGTTTTCCCTTGTTCCTAATTATTTTTTTATCCTTATTTACCCTCCCTCCCTACTTTTCTTTCCTTCTTTCCTCCCCCCCCCTTTTTCTTTTGAGCCACTTAAATCAGCTTGAGATTTAAAATTGTGGTAGCTATCCATTTTTATGTTGTTTTAGATATTAGCTTTTCTTTCACCATTTGTTAATTGTTTTAGCATTTTGTCTGCATATTTTTCCTTTTGGCTAAAATTGACTCATTGCATTTTGCAGTGTTAAGCTGCCATTTTCTCAGACTTACGGTCTTACCTACTCAGTAAACATGTATTACATGCTGTATCTGTGCCAGGATCGTTCTAGGTGTTTCAGGGAGACTAAAGCCCTCCAAGAATTCAGTGCACTGGTGGTAGTTAAAAGCACAGAAGTGGAGGGGTTTGCTGAGAGAGAATACATGGAGCAGCAGAAAAGGCACAGAACCCTGAGAGGTAACAGTCTATGAGGACCAAGGGAGAGAGTAGAATCCATCGAAGGAGGCTTGGGGTGGACCAGCAAAGGATCTGGTAGCTTGGAAGAAGTGTATCATGGAAGCCTAGGAAAGTTTTGGATTCAGAATCATCTTTGACCTTAAAGTGGTTTTTGAGAGTAAGTCCTAGATTTCAAGTAAGGAAATTGAGGTCCAGTGAAGTGACGTGACCTGTCCAGGTTTTATGTGAAAAACCAGTGGTAGAGCAGAGTCTAGAATAAGGAATCTCTTGATTCCTAGCCCAATGTTCTCATCTCTGTATCTGGGTGTAAGACTTTTCTTTGTTGCGGTAATTCCTGATCGGGTTTTATCTCTCTGTGAAGGAGGTACTCCTTTGTACTTTAGCTTGTGACTTTTCCCCAACAGTTTGTAGCTAGTTTTCAAAAACAACAACAAAGCTTTAGATTTTAGAGCAGAGAATGAGACCTTTAAAAGCCATTTAGAGACAGCTTTTTTCACACATAAGTAGTAAATGTATATTTTCTTTATCTTCATGACATTATATTCTCTATCAGGTGGTTCTCAAAGGTGTTTTATAGCATTATGTTGATTAAAATCATGGTAGTTAAATTGAAGTACTGTCATTTGTTTTACAGATCTAAGTCTAAATCACATTACTTCTTTTTCTAGGGGAATGAATTTTAGTAACAAAGTTAAAAGTTTCATTATCTATATTCTATTAAATATACATGTGACATTTTATTTTATTTTATTTAGTATTTTTTTTAAATGAAGTGGAGGTAATTAGGTTTATTCATTTATTTCTATTTGGAGGAGGTACTGGAGATGGAACCTAGGACCTCCTGCGTGCTAAACATGTGCTCTATCACTTGAGCTATTACATGCGACATTTTATATTTAACAAAGTTTGCTTTATTTCATATATTTGAATATTTATTATGACCAGATAACATCTGGTGATAGAGACAGTTTAATATTTAAGAATTTCAAATAAATTGTGGCTTTCCTGAATTCCTCTATTGTCTTCAAAGATTGCAGAAGTATACATATATTCCTGGAGATTATATGTGAAGCATCCTGAAACAGTTAAAAAAGTTATCAAAGATAGCATTCCTTTTCTAGAAAATATTCTTATTTGTTAAGAAATAGCTGCTGATGTAAATTACATGAAATTAGCAAACCAAAGTCAACTAAATCATATATTCTGATAGCCGGAATTTTTAGACTTTTTATTCTGATAGCCGGAATTTTTTAGACTTTTTAAATCTTGATTTTATGGCATATAAAATATTTTATTACTATAAAATTTATCCTTTTCATGAAAGATTTCCTTTATACTTAACATTTTATATGGCTTTGAGTCTAAAGCAGAATTAATATATAAGTTAGCTCTTACCTGACTTTCTTCTGGAGAATAACTTCTCTGAAAATGAATAAATCTTAGATAAGAGAAGTGTAAGAGGCTTTAAAAGTTATTTTCATGTCTTCTAATTCCTTTGACATTTATATATTCCTCTTTTTCCTCCTTCCTTGGCTGTTGGCTTATTAAACAGTTGAAATAGTAAAATCAGAACCTGTTCTGTAATATAAAAAGATGGTGTTGAGTCATTCGTTTTAAATACTGATAATAGCAGAGATGGATTCATTTAATGATTAAGTAAAGAAAATAATGAGGACATGTAGGAGCCTATGAGCTCCTCTGAGGATTGTCACAGTGGGTGGGGGTTGAGGGTGTAGGGATGAAGTGTTCGGTTGATCCAGCCCCACACTGCATAGACAATGGGGAAAGACAGCTCATTCCCACCCAATTTAATATGGTGATACATGAGGTAACACATCCCTTGCTACCTAGGATGCAACTACATGCAAGCCGTTATGTATTAATCTGTGTAATAATTGTAGATCAAAATATTCAGATTGGATATTGTGGCCCCAGCAGTCCAGATACTTTGCAGTACTTTGATTTTTGCAGTAATCTAGGCCTGAGGAAATAAAGGCCTGAATTAGGAAGATTATAGTAAGAATGAACTGAAAGAGACAGATGATAAATATTAAGAAAATATAAGTTACATGAGTTAGAGCCTATAGGATTCAAACTTGAGGGTGCATCAGAATCACGTGAAGAGTTTGTTAGACAAATTGCTGGGCCTCACGTGGAGTTTCTCAGCAAGTTGGCCTGGGATGAGGCCTGAGAATGTGCATTTATGACAAGTTCCCAGGCGATGCTGATGCTACTCATCCAGGAACCAAACTTTGAGGATCACTGCCATACAGGAATGTAGGCTCTTTGCCATTCCCACACTCTGTGTGTGCAGTGAAGAGTCATTGCCAGCATATGAGAAATGAGCTAAGTGTTCTAATGAAATATTTTTGTGTTTTGTTTTCTAGGCCAAGTGATGGTAGTAATAATTCGACATATAATATCGAAGTTATAAACTCACTGGATATTGAAGAAAGCATTTGGTCTCCTAGGTTTGGACTGAAGGGCAAAATAGATGTTACAGTTGGTGTGAAAATACATCGAGGGAGTAAAACGAAATATAAGATAATGCCACTGGAACTTAAAACTGGCAAAGAATCAAATTCTATTGAACACCGTAGTCAGGTATAAATCTTAATAAGAATATTGTCTGAATGTGTAATATATATTGTTTAAAATTATATATTTTAAAAGTAGTCTGCTTTATAAATCTTGGTTCAATTCAGGTAATTTTTTTTTTGAGTTTCATATAGTACTTTTCAATTTGTGATAGATACATCCAGAGTACTCAAATTGTTCGATAAATGTCTGCATGGCTACAGCAGAAAGTTTTCTCCAGCAAATCAGTATAACAGCTGAACTTTTAAGCCAGTGTTGCCAAGTTAATGCTGCCAAACTACCAGTCTAAACAGATGCTCCTAAAAAAACAATTCCTTGGTCATATAAACTGGGGAAACCAAGTATATCTGGAGATTTAATGATGCACATTAGCCTATTAAGGTTTTTAAAACATCTGAAAGTAATATGGATTTGTTTTAGCTATGTTTAACCCAGCGTTTCATAATTCTAATTTGCCATAGAGCTGTTACTTTCATGTAACATCTACATGGGATACTTTTGAGGAAACATTGGTGTAAATTCACTCTTTTATTTCTGACCTTTAATCTGATTATATTGATTTTTATCTAAAGTGAAATATAGAGCCGTGTCTCACCATTATGTTAAATTCAAGTTTTTTTAATCCATTTTTCTTCTCTTTGGTAAATATAACAGACTTCTGTTGTCTTTTAAAATTACCTGAAATTTGTATTAGTTATTAGTGAGTTAACAAAGTAATTAACATAAAGTTCTATTTTTTTTTCTAATTATTTCTATTCCCTCTGCCCACCTCCATATTGCCTGTCTGTGGTATGTTCTAGACACTTCTAAATAAGCAAAGATAAAACAAAAAGATAGTAAATTGTTGTATCCTTATGATATAATAAATATTAACGGAATAAATAGTGTAACAAATAACATAGCATTTGTAATATAACTTAAATTTCCTTTTGGAAATTACAGAATTTCACATATTACTTCAGCAGATTTTATATAAAATAAGGTTCAGATTCCAACTATTGAATTTTATAATTAGGGAATAAAGATTTTTTTTTTTTGTTAATAAGTCTTTCTTACCATTCTTAATTGTGGACCACACATCAAAGGTTCTCACAAAAGGTTTCTGGTTTGGGAATGAAAACTAAGGTAACTTTGTTGTTTAACCTCTTACTGGGTTTTACAGATATTGGAGGTGGAGGGAAAATAGGCTTTCTCTATTAGAAGATTTGAACTTTTCACTTTGGTAATGTAGAAATGAACAAAGAGTTGGCTAGTTAAAGCTTTCTTGATAAAGGAAAATCATGGTAAGATAGAAGAAAAGCTGTTTTTGAAGTCAGAGATTTAAAGAAATATGTTCTGTGTACATGAATGTGTACATGAATCTGAAAATTTTTACTTTTTTTTAAGGATGAGTTTGATTGAAATCACTTTTCAATGCTAAAAGAACGAGAAATATAAAAGCATCTAAAGTGATCTAGATTCAAAGACCTTTCTTATAAGGTTGTTGCTTTAAATTGTAGTGTCTTCAAGGCAAAGAGTATTGTTGTATTTAATTTTGTTCAGTTGGAACTTTTATCTTTGCAAGAAGAAAAGCTACAAGAACTTTTAAGAATACAATAGTGTTTAAAATTAGGAAGTTGATTTGAATAAGGCTCAAATATATTGCGTTGATATTGCACATTCATTGTGTAAGAAACAAAGAGATATTGAAAGAATAATTATAGTAATTCATTGAGTTATATGGGTGTTGTGGATAAGGAAAGGCATAGATTTCCCTTCTTACGAGATTTGACTTTCTCACTTTGGTAACACGGAAAAAGCTTATGTTATAAAATAACTTCAGTTAAGGAAGATCTTTATTTTATAAGGGAATGGTATTCCACAAGTTTATTTCTGAGCCAGTAATTTGGCATTTGAAACACATTTTTTAAAGGAAAAATATTACATGGAGCTATAATCACCAGCTCACAAAAACATGTGATATAGTTGAATTATAATAATGTAAAATTTCAATTCAGCTTCCTTTTATCACAATACTAAGGGAATTTCATTTCAAATTTTTTTCCCTTTTAACAAATCCCAGAAGCAGTCATATGTACCTCTTCCTTTTGCCTCAGTTCCTGTGGAGGGAAAAACTTAATATGGAAGGACCATTAGTTTTGGATGACTCCCTTGGTCTGCAGCCCCAAGGTGCTCAAGCTCAACCCTGTCATTTATAAGTTCATTTTAATTTTAAAAAGCTTTATTTGGTACGTATGCTGTATCAGGCAACACAAATGGAGTGCTTGTAAGAAGACCTCCCAAAAAATGCTACGTAGGCTCAAATGTTGCTGCCAAGGTGTTTTCATGAACTAAAGGAGCTACTTCTAACTTATTTTAGATGGTTTCTCTGAAGAGCACCATGTAAGCCTAATGTATGTAATGTCACTCTGGAAAAAACAGTAAATACCTATACAGGTAGTCTCATTTAGTTGTCACAGTAACTATGATGTAAATAAAATACACTTTAGTGTTTAGTTCACTTATTTTAAACAGGGAAAATGGTGTCTAAAGACTCTTAACTTCAAAATGTAAAACCTAGCGTGATTAATTTCTCTCTTTAGTTTATTGGAAACCTAAATATTTACTGTCTAAGAAAAATCCTAATATTTCATTCAGTTTGTAAAACTGAGAAGCATAAGCTCTGCTTGTTTTGTGGAAATTAAATATTTGACATAGAATTTATTGTTACCTTTTCTGAATTTGGATCATGTTATTTTCAAAATGGAAATAGATTTTTTTCTTTTTTTTCAAAATGGAAATAATTTAATTGACCTTTTGAATTTAAAATTACAGTATGTGTTGATTGCAAAACATGTATGGGAATATAGAAAGTTAAAGCTTTATTTGACAGAATGTCCTGTGCTTTCACAGCTTGTTTTGTACACACTGCTGAGCCAAGAAAGGAGAGATGACCCAGAGGCTGGCCTGCTCCTCTACCTGAAGACTGGCCAGATGTACCCTGTGCCTGCCCACCATCTTGATAAAAGAGGTTGAGCTGTTTCTCTCAGTTTTACTTCTCTGGTTTTTGTTTGTTTGTTCTTTCCTTCAACTTTTGATGATACATATTTATACCTGACAACTGCTTACTGCACTTGCTAGGCCTAATACAGGTTGTAATTTTTACTTGTATGTATGCTTTTTTTTTTTTGAAGAATTTTAACAGTATACTGTGTAGTTGAAAACATTATTAACCTTTAAAATCTTACTATACAAAATATTATTTTAAACTTCCTATCTTGTCCCTCATCACAAATGTCCTCATGAAGTTACTGTGTCCTAGGGAACAGGATTGCACTTGTCAGGAACCACTTTTATAAGTTCTAAAGTGCACAGGCACTGTGATCAGAATGCCTGGAGAGTAAACTGAGATGTCTAGCAAATAAATGCTTGTCTTACTTTGCCTAAAGTGTTGTATTTAAAGTACAAAGGTTATCCTGAATTATTTTCTTTAGCTCAGTTTATTCATCTAAAACTATATAGAATGCTAATTACAATGAAAAAAAAATGTGACAATCAGTATATGTATGTTCATGTGTAACTGAAAAATTGTGCTCTACACTGGAATTTGACACATTGTAAAATGACTATAACTCAGTAAAAAAAGTGTTAAAAAAATTCCTATCTTAAAAAGGATATATATATATATGCTATGCTGTACACCAGAAATTAACACAGGATCGTAAACTGACTATACTTCAATTTAAAAAAAGGACAAAAATAAACTTCCTGTCTTATTTGAGACCCTCTAGATAGCTATGTCTGTCCTTAGCATTCAGCTAATAAAACACCAACTTCACAATATTTACTACTTATGAGACACATGGTTGTTTAAAGAACTTATCAAGTGATCAAAAATTGAAGGAACTATACCAAAATGTTAACAGTGGTTATTCTAGGGTAGTGGGGAATATGAATGTTGATTCTTTTCTTTTTATGTTTTTGAATCTGAAAGTTTTACTTACATAATGGAAGATATATTTAAAAACTTTACTTAATTCTTAAAAAACACCCATCCACCCCTTTCTTTTTCCATAGAATTATTAAGGCTAAGAAACCAGATGGCATTCTCTTTGTTTCACCGAATTAGCAAACCCAATACTGGAGAGGGGAAGACAAAGCTTGCATCTTTGCCACAAATAATTGAGGAACAGCAGACTTGTAAATATTGTTCACAGATGGGCAAATGTGCTCTTTATAGCAGGTAAGCACACTGTCTTCCAAAAGCATTACCTCCAGCTAAGTAAGCACTCGACTCACAACAATTTAACATCATTGGCTGCTCTGGCATTGCTGATTTCATTTTGGTTATTTAAAATGAAGGGAATGAAGAAGAAAAAAAAAAAAGCAGTTACTTTGTATTACATAACAAACCTATTTCCTTGGAGAATAATAGAATGCTTTTAAAACTTTTTCCAAAAGTGAGTATTTTAATCCTACTGCATATAGTTTCTGGGGAAACAAAATAATTGTAGGACTTAAGGAAACTGGTTAAGAAAGATGTGGTAGAGGCATTCTGAATACAATTTTTCTTAAATGATAGTTTAAGAAATCTTTCATTTCTCAGTTGCTATTTTAATTTTAGACCTTTTGTAGTTAAAAACAGGTTTGTAGTTAAAAACAGGGAGTTTGGTTCTTCTAGACAGTTTGATATGATCCAATAGACTTGTTTATGTATGTTTATATTTCTACATATGGGAAGTTTATTAGGTATCTTATGAATAGTCATATGTATTTATACCTTCATAGGCGAGTGAGAGGTTTCTTTTAGGTTTGTTTATTATTTAAGAAAAAAATTTTTTAACATTTTCTGAGCCTGCTCTATTTTACTTTATTTTGTTTGAAGGGGGGAGGTAATTGGGTTTGCTTATTTTATTATTATTATCTTTTTAATAAAGGTACTGGGAATTGAACCTAGGACCTCATGCATGCTAATAAGCATGTGCGCTACCACTTGATCTATGCCCTCTCTCTGGCCAGTGAAAGTTCTGAAGGACACAAAAAGGCAGTTAGATAAAAATTCAGACTTGGAAACAAGATCAAATCAGAACCAAAGTTCTAATTCAGCCTGAGAATTCACATAAAGGACTTTTAAAAGTACAGTTGATCCTTGAACAATACTGAAACTGAAGTGCCGTCCCTCCCCACAATCGAAAATCTGAGTATACTTATTATCGGTCCTCCATAGGCAAGGTTCCTCCACATCCACTGATTCAGCCGACCTCAGATCACACAGTACTGTAGAATTTATTGTTGGAAAAAATCCGCATATAAGTGGGCCCCCCTCCCCATTTTAAACCCATGTTGTTCCAGGGTCAGCTGTAATGTATCAAAAGATCTCTTATTAGCAGAGACTGAACCAGGGGAAGTCTGGGCTTATAGTACAAGCACATTTTCTGGAAATCTTATGTTTTACTCTTGATGTATGTAAGCTATCCTATAACATATTTGTTTCTACATAAAATTTTTAAAATTACTATTAAGCAAAAATGGTAACTCCACATGGTTCTCCATGCTTTTGTGTTGACTTTTCTTAATGGCACAGAGCTAGATATACAAATATTGTGGTTTGAGAAACACAATCGTACAAAAAGCCAAAACTTGCTACATATAGGAATGAAGACTAGAATATACCAGACTTAAGCACTTGTTAGGGAGGTAGTTGTTGAAGGCAAAATAATGCAGTATTGAGTTTCTTGTGCATTTTGTTTTGTAAAAATCCATTTGACTTATGAAATGTTGAAATGACTTTTAAAGAAAATCAGAGGCTCTGGTTATAAGTTATGATGATCATATTTGTGCACTTATTTTAGAAATAGCATTTCATAGCCAGCCAGTGAAATGTTTTATACTCATCTCTGACTTGGAACTTTATCTTTAGAGCAGTTGAACAACAGATGGATGACAGTTCAGTCCCAAGTGGCATGCTGCCCAAAATAAAAGAAGAAATCCAGCATCTAAAGCCTGCACACTTAGAATATTTCAGCCTTTGGTGTCTAATGTTAACCCTGGAGTCACAATCAAAGGATAATAAAAAGAATCACCAAAATATATGGTTAACACCCGCTTCAGAAATGTAAGTGGTCCATTAATACAGTAAAACTTCAGTAATTTGGATTAGCCAGTGGGATGACATTTGGAATTCATGACTACAGGTTATGTGGCATGTTAAAGACATGCAGTTTCATATATTCAAGCCAACTCCAGATGGCTGTCAATTAATTGTTTTTAAATAGAGCACCATTGGTAGTTATTATCAGTAGATTAAATATGCCTCAGTAAATCTTATTTTAAAAATTATCGGTAAATCCTTTTTCATCATTGAAAAGAATATAAACGAGTATATCATACAGTGAATTTTAGCATATTGGCAGATACAAATTAATGAAGTTTTACTTAGTATTTTAAATAGTTGTATTTAAAAAGCTTATATTTTTAGTATGTTTTGATAGAAGTTCAGATTTTCTAAAGTTGCTCAATATTGTATTTTGTGAGATCCATTTTTTTACAAGTTACTTGTAAAGTTATAATTTTGTGTATCTTTGCATAGTATTTTTCTTTATGTAATATTTAGTTGCTTTTGATCCATTTCTTTCTTTCTGGAATGAATATTGATAATAATGTGACTTTAGAAATAATCAGTTTGTTATTTCTTTAATACTCGACTTTAACACAAGGCAACGCTCTTGTGGAGAAAGTTTAAGTCATTTTCAATAGACTACATAAGTACACTAAATATGTCGAGTATACATGCTTGCAAGCTTCTGAAGTTGTACAGTACTTAATAGTAGTGCCTGAGAGATTGTAAATGCTTAATACTTACTTCTTAGAGGCAGTGGAATTATCAATTTGCTTGGCATTGTTTTAATAACAATAATTATAAATTCTCTAGTAAACACTGAAGAAATATTTTACCACTTTTCTTCACTTCAGGGTCAGGGTATTTATCATTTGTCTTCTGAGGTGGGGGTGTCGTTCAAGGATCAAAGTGCATGTTGGTCAGAGAGCCCAGCCTGTGGGTGCAGCAAGGGAGGCACCCCTTAGCACTTGGGTAGAGGTCTGTTGATGAGAGATTGTTTTTAAACTAATAGAATGTTTCCTTCGCATTTCTAACACTTTTGTATAGATTGTGGAAGATGTAAAAATGACAGACTCAGTATTAGCATTAGAGCTTCCAGAGGTCAGATGAACAAGTAAATAGTGGGAAAATGCAAATACAGTATTTATATATGTGATGTAAATAGAAGCTTTTTCTCTTTTTCTTCCTCTTTCATAGGGAGGAGAGTGGCAGCTGCATTGGAAACCTGATTAGAACAGAACACGTAAAGACAGTTTGTGATGGACAATATTTACATAATTTCCAACGTAAAAGTGGTGCCATGCCTATCACAAATCTAATGGCAGGTGACAGAATTATTTTAAGTGGAGAGAAGAGAGCGCTCTTTGCTTTGTCTAGGGGATATGTGAAGGAGATTAACATGACAACAGTAACCTGTTTATTAGACAGGTAATGAAAATTTCCCTTTTTGCTGAGAGAGGGTAACATCTTTATTGATATATAAACATATACTGTACAGTTCATCCATTTAAATTGTACAGTTTAATGGTTTTTAGAATATTCACAAAGCTATCTATGCAAACTGTACCAAAATCAATTTTAGAACATTCTCATCACCCTCCAAAAGAAGCCCTGTACCCTGTAGCAGTCACTGTCCCAGGCCTAGGTGACCACCAGTTTCCTTACTGTCTATGTAGGTTTACCTGTTCTGAACATTTCATATAAATGTTCAGTACAATATGTGGTCTTTTGTGACTGGCTTTTTTTCACTTAGCATACTGAGGTTCATCGCCATGTATCAGTACTTCATTCCTTTTTTTAAAAAAAATTCACATAACTTAAGATTGACCATTAACTATTTTAAAACATATAGTTCAGTCGCATTTTGTACATTCACAGTATTGTGCAACCATCACTTCTATCTAGTTCCAAGATATTTTCATCACCCTGAAAGGAAACATTGTACCCTTTAAGCAGTCACTCCCCACTCTCCCCTCCCTTCACCACCTAGCAAAACCACTGTGTCTCTATGAATTTATCTGTTCTGGATATTTCATATAAATAGGACCAAAAAATATTTGCCCTTTTTTGGTCTGGTGTATTTTACTTAGCATAATACTACGAGGTTCATCCATGTTCCAGCATTTATCAGTACCTCATTTCTTTTTATGGCTCAGGAATATTCCATTTTATGGATAGACCACATTTTGTTCATCCATTCACCAGCTGATGTACATTTGAGTTGTTTCCACTTTTTGGTTGTATGGCTAGTGTTGCTATAAATATTCACTAAAAATTTTTATGTGAACGTATTTTTATTGCCCTTTGTAGATACCTGGTAGTGGAACTGCTGGGTCATGTGCTAATTTTGTGTTTAACTTGGGCAACTATCAAACTGCTAAACTTTTGTTTAGTACATTCCATTCCAAAGTGCTAAAGTGGACATAATCTTATCTAATTTGTGCAACCATGTGTATGGCAGGTAGGACAGGCACCCTGTGTTAGCTGTAAAGCTTTATTTCTCCTTAGCACTCAGGCACTCACCATTTCGTTCTCTCCTTTTTTTTTTTTTAAGAAAATATTGTTTTCCATTTACAGTTGTAATATAAAGTATAAGTTAAAACAAAGTGAGTTAAATAAAAACACTAAGTAAATAGTAGAGTAGAATGAAAATTTGTGGTAGAAACTAATATCCATGTTCACCAGTATCCTTATCCCCCTCTTCCTGCGCTCCCAGCCTTCCTTGCCTTTAATTGCAGGCACACGTCACATTACTTAGTGGATGGAGATCAGTAATTGGGATGCAGTGAGTGAGTGCAGTGGAAATGTCCAGGCTTGCTCTCTACAAGTCACTAATACTAGTTGGGTCTGATGATACGGGAATATAAGCTACGACATTTCTGTTGTCTCTTAGGAGTCTCTGCAGTCAGTCCTTTGAGGTATTTATTTAGTGCCTAACATGTATTAGGAATTTATAGTCTTGTGGGTAACAAATATATACGCGTATTTTCAGTCTGGTATGACAAGTGTTTGAATTGATAGGAACAGAGGAGAGACATTTAACCCAGTTTAAGGAGGCTCAGGGAAGGGTTTTGGAGAGTCATTGTGAATCTTCACCCTGTGGGTTGATAAGTTAGCCTGGTGAAGCAACATGGGGAGACTATACCAGACAGAGGGAACGTGGTGCGGAAAGCCCTGATGCTGTGATGTTGTGTGAAGTGGAATGTTCGGGGAAGTGCAGGTGATTATTTCTGGAATGTAAGAGATGAAGAAGGGAGTGTTTGGAGAGGTGACATCATAGAAGGGCTTAGATACCATGTTAAGAAGTTTTGACTTCACTTATTCAGATGTATTGAAGAGTTTTAAGTAGAACGATAATCAGGTTTGCAATTTTCTATGGATGCACTGTTGGAGAAATGAAGTTAATTAATGGAGGCAAAGTTGAAAGCAAAGAAACTGGGCAACTGTTGTAGTGGCCCAGGCTCAGGTTCCTTGAGGGCAGAGTAATTCTGACAGAGCGAGTGGAATGACTTTGAGAAGCATTTAGAAAGTAAAATTGTCTGCCATTTGGTAGTGATCGGAGTGCAGGGTGGGATGAGGGTGAGGGAGAGGGAAGAATCAAGACAGATGTAGATGCAGGTGCCATTACCTGAGATCAGGACCGTGGAAGGAGGATCAGGTTCAGGATGCAGAGATGTTCAGTTTTGAAAAATTGAACTTTCACAGCCTGGGCTTTAACTGAGTGGAAAGATCTTGCTGCTTGCTGGATATCCAAACATGCCGCTTGGGTGAGAAACCAGGTGGGAGAAGAATGTGAGGTCAGGCCTGAAGATGTGGATTGAGGATTTAGAGCCACCTGAGGGTGTGGGAACAGAGGGAAAATGATAAGAAAGAGCAGAAGAGAGGACCAAGGAAGGGACCCTAGAGAACACCGCGGTCTTAGGGGCTGACAAGAGTGAGAGAAAAACGTCAGGAAAGAGACCTGTGTTCCCGGCTGGAGGAGGGCGGAGGCCGGTGCTCAGGATCCTTCTAGGGTGGTGAGCCCAGGTTGGCTTGCAGGGCTAGTAGACGTATCAGCACATATTGTAGGTTCCTGATTATTAACTGCTTTGACTTTGGTGCCTCGTGCCTTCCCCTTTTCCCTTTTCCTACCAGTCCAGGGCCTCATGCTCTCTTTGGTTGGCAAGTATGAATTAGGGCTGGTAGTCATTTTATTTTTTATTTGTTATTTTTTTAAACTTTTTTTTATTAAGTTATAGTCATTTTACAATGTTGTGTCAAATTCCAGTGTAGAGCACAATTTTTCAGTTATACATGAACTTACATATATTCATTGTCATATTTTTTTCTGGTAGCCATTTTAATAGCTATTCTGGCCCATTTTCTCTTCTAGCAAGCAGCAGCGTATTTCTCATACAGATCCACTGACTATGTTAAAAACATTCATGTACATCTGTTTTGCTGTTTTAGGAACTTGTCAGTACTCCCAGAATCAACTTTGTTCAGATTGGACCAGGAGGAAAAAAATTGTGATATAGATACCCCGTTAGGAAATCTTTCTAAATTGATGGAAAATACTTATGCCAGGTTTGTAAACAATAAATGAATCTGAATTTTACCCCACTTTCCTAAGGAATATTACTAAAAACATTTTTTTTGCCCTTTTCAGCCAAAAACTTCGAGATTTAATCATTGACTTTCGGGAACCTCAGTTTATATCCTACCTCAGTTCTGTTCTTCCACATGATGCAAAGGACACAGTTGCCAGCATTCTAAAAGGTATGTTATACTCAGCATGTCTGTGTCCATTAGTTTTTCTTGGTTCTATTTATAATTTAATCTACATTATGGAGTAGTGATTTAATAATTTATTAGACTTGCAATTATAGTTTTTAGACAGTCTCTCGAAGTTTTTACATGTGTTCTTTAGCATCAGCCTATTTCCTTACTTTCAAAAGATGTGTTGAAGAATAGACATGAATAGAGGCAGCTTTTCTTGTAAAATAGTTAATTTGCTCATTGAAATTCAATGCTCTTTTCCCTGTTATTTTAAATTTTAATGTAGGTTTGAATAAACCTCAGAGGCAAGCCATGAAAAAAGTACTTCTTTCAAAAGACTACACTCTCATCGTGGGTATGCCTGGAACAGGAAAGACAACTACCATATGTACTCTTGTAAGGTTTTTATTCTTTGCTTAGAAACTGAATGTTTAAATCAGCTTCTCCTTAATTCAAAGGTTATGATATTTGATATCAAAAGGGCTGAATTTTAAATCAAAATGCCTTTATTTCAAATTAAGAATGACATGAGAAATAGAAAGCTAAATCACCAATAATTGTAATCCTCTTGTAGATTTCTTGCATTTAAGATTGAAATCTCTTTCTATTGATGATATAAGTACCATTGTATGTTTTCTTTCCTTTAAAAAATAAGTGTACAGAGGCATTTGAAATAGATTTTCCTTGAATTTTTTTTTCTCATCAGTAAATTTCTGAGCAGTCCTAGAATAATTTTTTTTTAAAAGAATAATCTTAATGATGGCAGCAAATATTTACTGATTGATACTGTGTGCCAGGCACTAGTCAAAGTTTATATGTATTCAATTTTATTATTATGTAATATATTATTAACGTATCAGTAATAACATGATAATAATGCCATGTTATTTTTGGAAGACATTTTGGCTTTATAATTTTTTAAAAAGTTATTTGGCTTAACTCTTAGATATGCTTCCTAGTAAGTTTTCTAATTCTTTTTGAAAAATATAAACGTTAAAAATGATCTGAAGTTAAAAGTAATGCTGTTTTCTTTCCTCTTGTTCGTTATTAGGTAAGAATACTCTATGCCTGTGGCTTTAGTGTTTTGTTGACCAGCTATACACACTCTGCCGTTGACAATATTCTTTTGAAGTTAGCAAAGTTTAAAGTAGGATTTTTGCGCTTGGGTCAGACTC